TTAGCAGAGGTGTTCAATAGATTAATTTCGAGGGCGGATGAGGTGGGTCTTTTAAAGGGGTAGAGAATAGGACAGGAGAGAGTGGTGGTAACTCACCTACAATTTGCGGATGGCATTATTATCTTTTGTGAGAATGGAGGTGAGTTAGATGCAAGAAGCCTAAAGATGTTGGTGAATCTATTTGAAAAAGTGACAAATCTAAAGGTGAACCTCAATAAGAGTGTGGTGGCAGGGATCAACTTAGTTCAAGAGGAGATCAATTTATGGGCTAGGGGAACTAGGCTGCTTGAGGAGTGACTGGCCGCTAAAGTATCTAAGCCTTTCCCTTGGGGCAAACCCTAGAAATCCAGGGTTCTAAAATCCGGTAGTGGAAAGGTTTGAAAAGAAGTTGGCTAGGTGGAAGAGGAATTGCATTTCCTTGGGAGGTAGGGTTACTCTCATTAAGTCTACCTTAGCAAATCTTCTAGTGTATTACCTTTGGGTGTTCTGTATGCCACAAGCTATTGGAAGGAAACTAGAGAGGATAATGAGGGATTTCTTGTGGGAACCGGGTGATAAGAAGAAAGATCATTTAGTAAGATGGGAACTAGTGACTAGGAGGAAGGAGTTCGGAGGCTTGAGATCAGGAAGATTGAAGAAAGGAATGGGGCTTTACTAGGAAAATGATTATGGAGATTCCCATGCGAGACGGATAGGCTTTGGCACAAAATTGTGACTATCATACACGGACTCTCAAAGAATGGTTGGGATGTTGGAGTATCTAGTAGGGCGTCTAACGCATCACCATGGAAAGTGATTCATAAATTGCTACCATTGCTGCTCAGTCATGTCAGGTTTGATCTCAATTCAGGTAACAAAATCAATTTTTGGGAAGATGTGTTGGTGGGTGACTCTCCTTTGAAGACATTGTTCCCCTCAATCTATGCCCTCTTCTCCCTTAAGGGCAAACCGGTTGCTGATTTCTTAATCCCTTCTCCCTCCTAGAGTCCTAGTCTGTTTTACTTAGAATTTGGGGCTTCGTAGAAATGTGAGGGATTCCGAGATGGGCTTGGTGTCTACTCTTCTTCAGCTGCTTGATGGGGTGTTTCTTGATACTTCCAAACAAGACACTAGGCTCTGCACCCCTCTCCCCTCTATAGCCTTCAGCTGTGCTTCTTTCTTTAAAACCTTGTCCAATCCTGCTCAACCTGGGGTACTGTTTCCAGTCCAAAAAGTTTGGTGTCACCCTGCTCCCCTGAAAGTGGGCCCTTTTTGGTGGGAGGTCTACCATGGTGCAATTAACACCTGTGATCTGATGCAGAGGAAGAGGCCCGGCTGGTGCCTTTCACCTAATTGGTGCTGTTTGTGCGAGTCCAGTAGTGAAACTGCCTTTCATATTTTTGTCTCCTGTCCTGTTGCTATCTGTATTTGGGACTGGTTTTTTTCTCTCTTTGGATGCAGGTGGGTTACCCCGATGAGCTAGGAAAGGCTGTTTGACTCCACTTTTAGATGGCCAAAGAGAAGAGGTAGAATGCTATGGAGATGCACATGGGCAGCAGTGTTTTGGGTGCTATGGGAGGAGAGGAATCTGAGGATTTTTGAAGAATGTGCAAGGAAGTGCTGATAGAAGGGATCATGATAAAGGTGACCTCGTGGGTAAAATATTTGGGATTATTCTCAGATTTTACTGTTGATGATATCCTCAGGAATTGGAGGACAGTAGCATCCTCTTCAGCAGCTAAAAAGGTCTTAAGAGAGTGGGACCCCCTGATTCTGGTTTCCTCAAATTAAACTTTGATGGAAGTAGCTTTGGTAACCTGGGATTATCTGGAATTGGAGGGGTGATAAGAAATGACAAGGGGGTTGTGGTGGGGTTGTTCTAGGGCCCTATTGGAAGGGGAGACTCTATTACAGCTGAACAAAAGGCAACGGTTTTTGGGATTCAAAAAGCTATGGAGTTGGGAGTGAGAAAACTGGTTGTGGAAGGCAATTCCAAAAGCAGTCTGAAAGGACTCCATGGCTCTTTAGAAATGAAATAAAGAAGTTTAAATGCCTATCCAAGGACATGCAATTATTAATTCAGTGGACTCCAAGAACAGCAGATGGCTTTGCAGATCAGCTGGCAAAACAAGGGGTTAACAGAGAACATTGTTTTTGGGCCCAGTTGTAAGGAAGGCTGGAAAGTTAAAAGTTGATAGTTGGCAAACTCTAAAGTCTAGTGGGGTAGCCGAGGCTACTCAATTTCTGTAATCTTTCTAAATTTTCTTAATGAAATGTCCTTTATTGATTAAAAAAAAAAAAATTGGGGTGATTCTCCTTGAGACAAACTTGCCCCAAAATATATGCTTTCTTAGGCAATAAAAAGAAACATATTTCCAAGACGGTTTCTTTTGACAATAGGAGGTCCTTGGAATTTGAGTCTTAAAAGGAGATTGAGAAACTCTGAAGCTTTTGAAATTTTAAACATCCTAAATGGCCTAAAAAATTTGTTTCATTGCTCCTTTGGGGAAAATGATGAGTACAGAAACTCCTAATCCTAGTTGGTATTTTCTCTTTGCCTCTTTTTTAGAACCCTCTACCAAACCAAGATTTCCTTCTTATCGTTCCCTATAAAAGCCGTTTGGAAGAGTCCTTTTCCACCAAAAGCTAAAAGTCTTCTGCTCGGGGGCAACTCTTCAAATTATCAGCATGTGTAAGAGGTTGCAGCAAAAGTGGACAACCTGATGCTTATCCCCTCATGTGCCTTGTGTGCATCCTCTCTTAAGAGAGGGGAAAGAACAGACCACCTTTGGTTGATTTGTCTGATTGCTACTTGGGCATGAAACCACCTTTGCCTCCTTTTTGGGGCATCTTGGATACCTTCTGCAGACATACATGATCTTTTTTCTGCAAGTTTCATCTCTTCTAGTATAACACAAACACTTCAAAGCAAGAAAGAACCATTAACTTGATGTAAAGAAATCAGAAATTACTAAAAATGCTAAATCACAATTTTACTATAAATAGTAAGATGAAAAAGTATAAATAGAACTTATGACACTTACTAGGAAAAGTAAATATCCAAAAGATAGAAACTTAACCCAAAAACCACCTCCATGGTTTTTCTTTGAAGCTCCTACATCAGTCTCCTTGGTTAACAAACTCGTTCTCAAGTTTTAAAATGATTTAGAATTATTAATTGGACCAATATAGGCTACAAGATTGGTTCAAAAAGTGATAAGGATGATAAATCAGCTAGGGAGTGTAGGTGGTCGGACCTCCAAAAGTCTGAGCTGGTGAGGAAAGATTGTAGGAATAGTCGAGAGAGTCAATGAAAAGGGAGGGAGGGAAGGGAGAGAGAGAGAGAGAGAGAGAGAGACCCCTACAATGAATCCCTGATTGCTTTATATAATTTCTCTTTCTTTTCCAGATAGGAAATTGTTCTAGAATTTTCCATCTGTTAAGTAGTTACGCCATGCTAGCATAGGTGGCCAGCTATCAGCCACTATTCCACATACTAAACTCATGAATCATGACTTGTCCTAAATTGCCGTTTCATGACCCCAGTTGGACTGGGCCAGTTCAGCTTTGACTCGGGACAGGTTAGACTGGGTCTATGGCCTTGTGCATGCCTATGCTCCTACAAGGAGAAATTCAGCTCTTTATCTTCAGATATCACCATCTCACTATGCCAAAACTGTTTTTTGATCCATGATGAACACTTCAGACAAATCAATGACTAACTCATCTTTAGTTTTGCTAAATCTTTTCATAGATCACATGGTGAACATCCTAAGAAACTTCCTCGGGAATTTGTTGAACATTTAAGTTTGGCTTGGGAGCTTCTAAAATGGAGGCTGAGACGAAGATGGAGAAAAGTACTAATGCAGTAAGAAGATTTAGAAGACAGAAAACCAACCAAACAGTGCAAGCCTCAAAAGTTTTTGCCAGGTTAAAGTTGGGACTTAGGGATATTTGGAGCAGGATTAAAGAAGAGAAAGAAGATAAGGAAAGTCTCTCAGACAAGAGGTGAGATCTCTGTTTTGGATAGCGGACGGGATGAGGATAAAGCTTGAGTTTAAGTTCGTTTTCAGAGGGTTGGGTGGGCCCAGGGTGTTTTTTCTTACGTGTTTTATGGCAAGCGTTGGTTGGTGTGGGGAGCTGCAGTTTTTTGTAGCTTTTGATACTAATAGAGATTGGTGGAAAGGGTCTTTGCATTTGTTTTTAAGGTGTTTTGTAGGGCTGTTTTTCTGTTTAACTGTTTAAGGGTTACTTTTGTTAGGGTGGGTCTGTCATATTTGGGTCTGTTCTTGTTTGGGCGATTCCTTATCATGCTGTTGTATTCTATTTTCCCTTCCTTCATCTATAAAGTTTATTTTTATTTATCTTCAAAAAAAAGTGCATAAAAAATTCGCAGTTAACAAGGGGTAGTATTTTTATGAGTAACAGAGAAGATTTGAATGGTAAGATGATTTTCTTGTAATCTTTAAAGTCTGTTAAGAGGTGCTCTTTTCTGTTATTACCTGGTATGAGCTCAAATACGGTTAGACACAAGATGCTTTACGATTTCAGAGACAGTTATTAGACTAGGAAAGTCAGGACTGATACTAATACAAGGGACAAAACTAGTCAAATTTTACAGTTACAAATGCGAAAGAAAACTTCAAACTAGATGCTGGTTCCTGAGGTTTATTTTATCATGGTGATTTTGACAAGATTTTTCCATGTTATACTGGTATTATTCAATAAGAGAGATTTACTTGGATACCAAAGCAGAGTTCCAGTTTCTGTTGCATTTTGTACCCATGGAGGAATTTGAGATTTACTGAACATGGTACCAGAGAGAAGTGGGGAAAGTAGAAGCACTGGAGGATTTCATTTTTATATTCAAACCCATAAATCTGGTTAGTCAGTCCATTTTCTCATCCTTTAGTGGGTTGGCAATGGTTCCAAAGACCTTTTATTGTTCCCTAGCATGCCTCCCACAATAAAGCAAAGCAACGAACAAATTTGCAACCAGAAGATTCTTTTGGCATAAGTACCTTTAGAAGAAGTAACAAACGATGCCTCAAAGCTCGATCATTAGTCCTATCCAATAAAACTGTTATGTGAGCAGTACCATCAAAAGGGCCTATAGTTTTATAATGTTGCTCATATACAATTGTCATTGCCCTTGCACAGAGCTCTCTAACTGAAGAGCCTCCACCTCCTCCAAAACCATCTAATCTTCCCATATCACACCAATCATCAGATGCGCCTAATTCATCAGGAATAGCACCATCAACTGTAAGTCCTGTATCTGCATCACATAAAAAGCGATGATAGAGTGCTCTAAAGAAAGCAACTGGATCACGTAGGGGAAAATCCTGTGCCTTCCCACTACTTCCACTCTCAAGCAGAAGACGCAGATAATACTGACCCACACAAACTTCTTTGGATAAACTAGGATAGCTAACACAAAATTCAGTGTAGTTCCATGATATCTGAGGCACACTTTCTTGGCCTGTTAAAGCTTCAGTTGCTGCAACCCCAGGAACAATATCTTCAGTACGTTCCTTCTCAACATCTAATTTATGAACCTCTGCTTGCAAAGCCTCTCTCAGTTCTTGCCTGGTACGCTCATTCCATATCAAATCAGCACGATTGTGATCTAGACTAAAAGCTCGCCAAAATTCAGGCCAATTACAAAGCAGCCTGCCGGATCCCACTGGCGTATTCTCCACAACAACTTGAGCAGGAGCAGGGAGGCATGTGTTTAGGGAGCCAACCATATTGCCATCAGGGTCAACTGAATCTGAAACATTTGAATCCAGTGCCTGAGAAAAATTAGTTAGTGACGCATCTGTGGAAGCATGGTTATTTTGTGGAATGCCAATAGCAGAAGATTCACTTGGCAAATTTCCTCCCACAACAGAGGAATGAAAAGGTGGAACCTGTCCTGAATTTAAATCTTGAGATGTTTGGTAGTTGTCTTGTGCTCTAAAAGCACTAACACCCATCTGCTTGGGAGAGTCAGCAACTTCAACATTATTAGCATAAGCTACAGCATGCTCCTGAGATGTTACACTACGCACCATCCGACCTTTCCTCTGCTGAAGTATACGCCTCTGTCTTCTTCTAGTCAAAGGTGCTTCTTGATTGAGAAGGCCTTGTGCGTCTTCAGATAAAACCCCATCAATCCGAGTGTGTAAATAAGCAACAAGCCCAGGAGGAAGAACCCTTGATAATAAATCAAGAGCAGGTTGATATGAATCTGCCCAAAGTGCTACAAGCTGGCGACTAACTTCACGACGCTCCCCAGGAGGAAGAAAAAAAGCATGCAGCAAGTGCCTCAACAGGGCACCATCACGCAATGCTGCATCACGCATGGACTCTGCTGCAATTGCATCTTCTTCTGCAATTGTACGCATAATCACAGCTACAGTTTCTCTTACACTTTCAGCAGGATGTCCAAATAATGCAAACAAGCGACGCCGCAAACCAGCCACTTGGCGCAATAATTCAACAAAAGTTGTATATTGTGTAGTTTCGCCATGAGGTTCACAAAGCATAGCCTCAAGAACCTCCACAACAGACATTGACAGTAAAGGTGATACTGACATAGGCTTCAATCGGTTGACAAGAATCGTGACATAATTTTGGTGTGCAAACAGTACAGACTTGGTGTGCATGAAAGTAGCATGTGTCTCTCCTTTTGAGTCCAACATATTTGTATCCCCAGGACCACCACCAATAAGTACAGCCGCAAGTCCTGCAGCTTCAGCTGCAACACCCTCTGAACCATTTCTCAGTAGACCCATTATTCTCCCAACTGCAGCAGGAAATGACATGACATGTGAAGCTGCACTTCTTGATGACAATAATCGGCGTAAACATGCAATGAAACCTATAATTGTTGCAGCTGCCTTAGGTGAAGGTGCTGGCGGAGGAGGTGACTCTGGAGGGAGATTTGGTGTTGCTGGAAGCATTGTGATTAGGGCCATCAAAGTCACTTCTGGTACTTCTATGTTAGGAGGCACTCCACTATATGGAATACATGCATTGAATTCTCTTATTCTACGCCATAGCTTAGCTCTTGACCCAGGAATAGAACCGCCTTCAGCAACAGCATCTTTGGCTGCAGCAGCTAGATGTTTCAGATGCATGGATGCAGTTTCCGTATCAGCAAAAGACCGTTGAAGCCCAATAGGAATTTGTTGAAGCTGCAAATAGACTCTTCCACAAGGAGGATCAATGCGATGACCAGGCATGGTCAATCTTGGCAGCACAGGGACTGGGCATTGACCCTGCAAAAATAAACCCAGTAATAAACCACTTATCAATGGAATAAAACCCATGAACAGAAACTAATACTAGTGATTCAAAAATAGATAATATGACAAATTATCACTTCAAGGATTAAACATTATCTCATAAGAAATAAACCCAACCAATATTGAAATGAGATCACATCTACCTACTTCTGTTTGCAAAACATCCCGAACTGCAGCAAGTAAACTATCACGAGAAGTGCTGGCATAAACCTGAAACATAAGGCATAGCCATTAGATAGTTCCTCCTGATATAAATCAAGCTAAGGTACTGATTCTTACATGAATAGGACAGCCATCATTGAATTCAATTGCAAACATCTGTGGCTCCTCAGCAAATCGAACAAGGGAGCTTACTGCCGATAATGGGCGAACAATGACAGCCTGCAATCATAAACAGAGATTCTTAACTGGAATACTCAATAAAACTCCTTTTTATGTATTTCTTCAGCTCTGGTACATTGGATCTTATGACCATGGACCAAAATGTTGAGAAAGAATAAACATGAGTTTTCAAAAAAATTAAAAAAAATCAGAATGATGTAATAAAACCAAACTATAAGTCACCTAGATCACGTTAAGTGCAGAAAAAATAAGTTCGGTGCTCAGGCTATTTTTTTGGATAAGAAAGGTATTTGGGTAGGTTGGGATAATAAAACTGCTTTGGAAAGGGCCAATGGATACAGACACATTTTTAGAAGATATTTTTTCCTTAAAAGTAATTTTCAATAGAAACTTATTGTTTAGTGAATAATGAATTCATGTCAAATAAATTCACATGCAAAGGGGCTTCAGAAGGAAGGTATACCCCTGATACCCTACACTTCTTTATTTATAACAGTGAAAATTTTATTAATTATATAATAAAAGAATGACATACAAGCAATGGTGTGCCAATCACCCCAAAAATGGTCTAGTTCCTACAAGCACCCCTCTGGTTTCTGTTTACCCCTTCTCTTGCTAATCCATCTGCCACACTATTGGAAGATCTTGCAACCCGATTTCAAATTGTCCTTAAGTGTGCAGCCAACTAAATAATCACTCTCATTATGCAACATCATCATCTAAGCCTTGCCCCAACTATATGGAGTTGACTACATAAATCCTGTTTCACCATTCCATTCTGTTTAGTGACATACCTATTGTTACCATAGTCGTCAATGCATTGCCTAGGCGACTAGGTGCCCTTGGCTGGGAGCCTCACCCAAACGCCTTGATTTATAGCAACTAGTCACCATCTAGGCGACTAGGCACCTGCCTAGGCGACAAAAAGGACAAGGCGGGCACCTTACATAATATCATTTATATTGCTGCATCTTATTCTAGACATTGTTGATGAAGAGTTAGGGGAACGTTGGAAATGTCACAGGCAAAGGGAGAAGTCTGGTGTTCCTTTGGCAGCCTTGAACTGGTGCTCAGGTCCAGTTCAGTTCTCTCAAGAGAATGTTTCCAGATTTGGGTTTTTGCTTCTTTTTGTATTCTGTTTTGGGGTGGTTGGGGTGATAAGTTATTCAGGGGTTTATTGCATTGGGCTTTGTGTGCCTAGTCTCTCCTTAGTTTCGATGGTGGTGCTGCCTTAGCACCCCTTCAGGTTGTATTTGTTTTTTCTTTTTTAATATATTTTCGTTTTTATCTTCAAAAAATTTAATGTGTTAATACATTTTATTATATGCTATATATATCATTTATACTTTGTTTTAATGTTTTACTATTGAAATTTAAAAGATCAGAGGGTTTTGAGGAGAGAAAAAAGAAAGAAAGAAAGAATAGAAGTATAAAGAGGTTCTTTTTTTTCTATTCTCTCTCTCTAATTAAATACAACAGAAATTCCATCCTTGTTTTTTCTGTTTTACTTTCCATATTGAATATTTATCATATAAAGTTAATAACCTTCTTTAGCTGCTAATTGATATGAAATTGCTCTATTAAATACTTATTATAGTAGTATTATTTTCAATTGTTAGTGTCGAGTATGTAGGGGTATTTCTGTCTTTGTGCTTATGTTTAGGTTGCTGACGTGTAAGATTATGTTAGATCTAATGTCCCCAACTTAAGTAGGGGCACATGTGACTTTTCCACAATATATTAGTAATATAAAACAAATCTGGCCGAATGGGAGAGTGGACTTTACTCTCATTCGAACCAGACCTTTTCCTCCCTTTATTCTCTTCTCCTCTTCTCCTTTCTCTCTCTTTCTCTCTTTCTCTCTTCTTTCTTTCCTTTGACTGTTATCAGCCTAACAGGCAGGCCGAATCCTAATATGGTATCAGAGCCAAACTAAGCAAATCGGATCTGCCCAGAATTATGTTCTCTGCGCACCCAGTCCAGGGTTTTCTCTTGCTTTCTTCGCCATCAGTGGGAGATAAGGAAAAGGGCTGAAAAGGAGTGATTGCCTCTTCACTTGGAGGTTTCTATGGCTCCAGTTGTGCTGGTTATGGCTGGTTGCTGTGGTTTCTAAGAAGCCCTCCCCTAATCGATGAAGAGAAGAGGGCTGATTCGTATGGTGCAGTGGGTGCCTTGTGTGGTGTGATTCTTGGGTGATTAGGTAAGAGGTTCTATGCAATTTTTTTTTTTTTGGTGTGAATTGAATGATAAGTCTGTTTCAGACTGTATGGTGGGATTTTAGATTGTAGTGTGCTAGGGTTTGTGCATTTTTCAGTATGATTCGAAGGGGGAGTGGTCCTCAAATAATGTGGTGAAGTTTCAGGTAGTCGTGAGGTAGGATTTGTGGTGTAAAGAGTGCAGTTTACAGCAATAGTAAGTGTTGAAACCAGTGTGTTCAGTGTGTAGTGTGGTCTAGTGTGCAGTGTGCCGAATTCAGCAATGGGAGACAACAGTGATAGAAAGACTAGTGTGATGGTCCCTACTGACTACCTGAATGTTCAAATGACCTCCATTAAACTGAATGGAGAAAATTATGTACCTTGGGCTAAATCTGTAGAAGTCTTTCTTAAGGCAAAGAAGAAGGTGAAACACACAAGGGAAGAAAAACCCTCCACCGGTTCTCGTGAGTATGATGATTAGGAACAAGAAGATGCACAGATTATCACATGGTTATGGAACAGTATGGAACCCAAGAATAGTGTAAATTTCATGTTTCTTGATACTGCCAAAGAAGTGTGGAACCATGCTAAGAAGTTGTATTCGGGTCAAGACAATACAACCAGGGTATATCAGTTGTATCAAGAACACTTTAATCTACAACAGGGTAATCAGAGTCTTGAGGAGTACTATGAGAAACATTCATAATGAATTGATGTGACTCGATTTTTGGTGGGGTTGAAATCTGAGTATGAACCAGTGCGGGCTCAAATACTAGGAGGGTCAGCTCTCCCTTCCTTAGAAGAGGTGTTTGCTCGACTTAGGAGGATTTCCATTGGATCTATCGAGAACCCTAGTGTTTCCGATAGATCAGCCTTTGCAGTATCGAGAGGTCGTGGTGTTAGAGGTGGAGCTCGGGGAGCTCAGCCTGAACGTAGTGGTAGCAGTGGACTGGCATATGGCCGGAGTGGTGGTAGTGGACCTACATATAACCGTGGTGGTGGTTGTACTGGAGGTCGAGTTTCAGGGGGAGCCCGTGGTAGAGGTCGTAGTTCAGGTCCGAGGAAGTATACACACTGTGGTATGGATGGACATACCATTAATTATTGCTATGACTTGCATGGTCCACCCTCAACTTGGGCCAATCATGCCGTGACTAGTGACAGTAGCTTCAGACAGGAAAGTCATTCAACTGATCAGATACCTCCTACATCCACAGATGTTACCGGAAAAGAGATGATGAGTGTTTCCCATGATGAGTATGAGAGGTTTGTTCAAGCCACATCTCAACAGAACACGACCACTCTCGCACACTCAGGTATGGCTTGTTTGGCATCCACACCCAATCCCTAAATTATTGATTCTGGAGTCTCCGATCGCATGACTAAAACTCCAAGTGTGTTTTCTTCCCTCACTCATTGCCCAACATCACAATCTGGTACCCTTGCTAATGGTTCCACATCCTCCATTTGTGGTGTTGGTAATGTTAACATGGACCCTGTACCCTTATCCTCAGTTTTGTATGTCCCTAAATTTCCTTTTAATCTTATGTCAGTTAGTAAGTTGACTAAGTCTCTTAATTGTTCTATTACCTTTTACCCTTCTTCGTGTGTTTTTCAGGATCTCAAGACGGGTATGAAGATTGGTGGAGGGCATGAAGCTGGTGGATTGTATTATCTTGATGGTGGTGGAGGTACGTCAACAGCTCTCCAGTCATCTCTTTCTCCTCTCCAGTGGCACTGTCGATTTGGTCATCATTCACTGAAAGTTTTGAAGTCTTTGGTTCCTTCGTTGAGTCATCTTTCTGTTTTGGATTGTGAGTCGTGCCAGTTGGGGAAACATCATCGTGTTCCCTTTAGTCCTAGAGTTGATAACCATATGTCGAGTCCTTTTTCTTTGGTTCATTCAGATGTTTGGGGTCCTTACAAAGTAATGTCATACAATGGATATAAATATTTTGTCATTTTTGTTTATGATTATTCAAGGATGACGTGGCTCTATTTAATGAAAGAAATGAGTGAATTGTTTACCATTTCCCAAAAATTTTATGCTGAGATTCACAACCAATTTGGTGTTCACATTAAATTTTTTTGTTTCGATAATGGTCATGAATATTTCTCTTCATCATTTCAAGAATACCTAGACCAACATGGCATTATCCATCAGACTTCATGTACCTACACCCCACAACGAAATGGGGTGGCTGAGAGAAAGAATCGTCATCTTTTAGAAACAGCTCGATCCCTCATGCATCACATGAATGTCCCCAAACCCTTTTGGAGTGATGCAGTGCTTACTTCTTGCTTCTTGATTAACCGGATGCCCATGTCTATCTTTGATGGTCATTCTCCATTCACCACATTGTTTCTTACCTTGTCTCTGTTTCCTCTTTCTCCTCGGGTTTTTGGGTGTGTCTGCTTCGTTCATAATCTGGGGCCAGGAAGGGACAAGTTAGATGCACAATCTATTAAGTGCATCTTCCTTGGCTATTCCTGGACTCAAAAAGGGTATAAGTGTTATTATCCTAGCTCTCGACGTTCCTTTGTGTGTGCTGATGTTACCTTCTTTGAGTCTACTCCATTTTTCTTGGGGTCTGGTGATGTTTCCTCCTCTTCATCACCTCCTCCCCTTCCTCTTCCAGTTGTGGATTCTATTCATCTTCTTCCAGTTGTGACAAAGTCCTTGCCTACGGTGCCACCACCTATCTGTCACATGTATACACATCGCCCACATGTACCGACTCCTCCTCCAGCTCCATCATCGTCGACAGATCCGGTAGCTGTTCCCACACCAGCCCCAACCCCAGTATCTAATCTTGATCTTCCCATTGCCTTGAGGAAAGG